GGGTTGTAGATGAAGAAGCTCAACAGCGCCGGCGGGAACTGCTTTTCCTGGGCCGCCCAAGTTCCCGTCCCGGCCGCGGCTGCCGCCATCCCGGCCAGGCCCCCACGTCGGGAGGCTCCCTCCGCCCGCCCAGAGACCGCAGCCTTAGGGAACACCGCACTTCCGCCTCCCTAGCCGTCGGCCCGGAAGAGATCGGGACTGACCCAGAAGAAAAACCTGCCTTTATCCCGGTCCTTCTCTGTTACGTCCGTGTAGAACCAGTTCCCTAGTATTTATTGGGCTGTGGTGTTCTTTATTTTATTAGCACTTAGCTGTCATGACTAAAGGCGAAGACCATGAATGCCAAGAGAAATGTAACAATGGATGATCGGCTTTTGGTTTTTTGTTTCTTTTGTTTGTTTGCTTGCTTTGATAGGGTTCTACTATATAGACCAGGCTGGCCTCGAACTCACGGAGATCCTCATGCCTTTGCCTCCAGTGTGCTGACAATAAAGGCGCCATGGGCACGGTATTTTTCAAGAGTGAAAAAAACATTTAGGGGAGCACATATTTTTCTTGAAGGTAGCCTATTTACCTCTGTTGTTGGTTTTTAGTTTTGTTGTTATTTTGTTTTATGACATTTATTTATTTATTTGTCCTACAGGGAGGGGGATGTCACGGCACATGTGTAAAGGTCAGGAAACTTGTTGAAATTGCTTCTCCCCTTCAGCACTACATAAACTGGGTGTGGCTGACATGCCTGTAATTCCAGCCCTGGTGAGATGGAGGCAGGAGGATCGTTAAGTCATGGTCAACCTTGAATATTTAGCATTTTTACTTACATCCGTTGTAAGCAATGGACTATAAGCAAAAGCAAAAATGTCAAAATTTACCTTACCTCAGAGCTGGAGAGATGGCCCAACAATTAAGAGCATTGGCTGCTTTCACGAAGGACCTAGGTTCAATTCCAAGCACCAATATCAGGCAGCTCATAACTGTAACTCCAGCTCCAGGGAATCTGATGCCCTCTTTTGGCCTCTGGGGGCACCCGCTCAAATGTGGCACACATAAACTCATGCAAGCACACATATACACACAAAATAAATCCTTAAAAAAAAAAATCTACCCTATCACTAACAAAGGTGATTTTCTTGGAACGAGTGAAAACTTGTAAATCTATAGTCTTCTCAGTGAATAAATTAACAGACCTAGTGGAAAATATCCTGTCGATTCCGATTTCATCTGTCTTCTAAAGTGTTTGTGAAGTAATCCTATACCGTAACAGTTACAGACGAGATACAGGATAGGTTTTTGCTTGAAATTGGATTCGTGAGCACTCATTTACGCAACACTAAGCTGTAGTTGCTACACAGAACTATGTAAACAAGCAAGTCGACAAGTATTTCCCATCCTTGCTTCATTTTCATTTTGATACAGAAAGAACTATTTTGAAAATCTATAAAAAAAAAAAAAGAAAATCTATAGGTTGGCTAGGCATGGAGGCACAGGCCAATAATCTTAACATTGGGCTGTGGAAACAGGTGCGTCACCAGTTACAAGTTAGTCTGAGCTACATAGTGAGTACCTGTCTCAAAAGCAGTTTTGTTGTTCCTATAAGCAAATAAATCAGGGTCTCACATAGGACCAGCCTGGCTTCAGAGTCGCTATGTAGTCAAAAATGGCCTTGAATTCCTGATCCTGATGTCACCTTCCAAATGCTGGGATTTCCAGCCAGCACCACCAGACTCAGTAATCCTACTTCTCAACCATTAAGCCATTCACAAAGCTGGCTTTAATGTCAAGTCCATTAAATCTCGAACTACCTCACCAAGCTACAAGCTAAGACTGTAGTTAGATTTAAAAGAAAAATTAGTCCAAATTAAAGCCACTGTTGCAGCCTTACTTTATAAACAAGCAAGACAAAAATAACAAGACACTTAGTTTTTTAGTTATGGAAAAATATATTGCAATCTGGACCTTCATTTTAAAGTCACAATATTCAACTCTGTGCTGAGAACATATTTTGTTGGTCGTCTGCAGATTAGGTGCAAATAGCAAAGTCAAGCATGAATACAAAGCTCTTTGTATGCATGGGGACTCCTCCGGCTGATAGACTTCGTTAGAGTCTTCCTGTTTTAGTCTCAGAGTTGCTACATTTAAAGGTTTTCCTCAGTCCATAAAACTACAAGTAAGTCAAAACTGAGGAGAAATGTCAGAAACAAATTTATGCAAGATACACAAGTGTGTGTGTGTGCGTGGGTGTATGTGTGTGTTTATATATACATTTGTATGTATCAGCGAGGGTGTGTTCGTGCCACAGTATACATATGGAGGTCAGAGGACAGCCTCCTTCCATCTCATCTGAGGCAGGATCGCCATTGTTTTTCTGATGCATACAGCAGGCTAGACCGTCCATAAACTCTCTGGGATTCTCCTGCCTCTAACTGCACAGCAGATGCTTTTACCTAGTTAGCCATCTCCCTGGTCCCTGGTTGCTTGTTTTAATTGCTCCTCCTTCTAAATAAAGACTGTGAAATTAAGTTCCTAAAACCAAGTTTGAAGATTGTATATGAAGAGTATTTGGGATTGTTTGTTTGTCTGGGGTTTGTTGTTTGTTATAGCTTTGGGTTTGGGGTTTTTTGTTGTTGTTGTTGTGTTGTTTTGTTTGACTCTGGATCTCAGTATGTAGCTGACCTGGTACTCTCTATGTAGACCAGGTTGACTGCAAATTTACAGAGACTCATCTGCCTCTGTCTCCCCAGCGCTGGGAGTAAAGAGGTTTAAATATGCACTATTATGTTTAGTGTGTGGGCGGTAGTGTTGGAGAGCCCCAGAACATGCTAAGCATGGACATTGGTTTAAAAGTATGAAATCTCTGGGGGTAGAGGGATGACTCAGTAGGTAAAGTGTTTGCTGTACAAGCATGAGGGCCTGAGTTCAGATCCCCAGCACCCAAGCAGAAAGTTGAGCAAAGCATTGTTGGTCTTTGCTCCCAGCACTGAAGATCCACAGATGGATGGGCTTGCTGGCCAGCCAGCCTGCCTAACCTTACCAGCCCCAGTTCAAGGGAGAGACATTGTCTCAAATAATAAGGTGGAGAGTGATTCAGGAAGACACCCAGCATTGATCCCTGGCCTACACGCACACACGCACACACACGCACACACACGCACACACACGCACACACACGCACACACACACACACACACACACACACACACGCACACACACGCACAGTATGAACTGTTAAACAAACTTCTAGAAAAATGCTTCGGGACTCTCAGGTGTCCTCAGTCCTCAGGGTCAGCCAGAGACTAGCTTTAAGTGCCACTCGGAAAGCAGCCTAATGAGAAATCCCTGGCTTGAGACTCCCCAACCCTGTAAGAGGACCCCTGAGGCTACCCTCCAATGGGACTGGCAAACCTAGGTGTGACCAGCTCAGGTGTTACCATCTATGAGCTAGGAAAATGGTGGCTGAGAAGAAAGGGGTCGTGTTGGGGGTCAGGCAAGGGCAAGCGAATCTGAACACTGTTTCTCCTGGAGGAAAAAGTCAAAACGGTTTCAAAGCCTGTTTGTGTTGAGCTGTAACAGCAAGCAGTCTGAGCTTTACAACCCAGTCCAACTGTCTTGTCTTCTCTTGCTTCCTTGTATTTAGATTTCTCTTATTGTGATTGAATGCCCAGCAGCAGAAAATAAATGTGTAAGAGTAATTTTTAAACTAACATTTATCTATTGGCAGGGAGTGGCACTGTGCCACAGAGAGATTGCAGAGGCCAGAGGATAACTTTCAGGAATTGGTCTCTCTCCTTCTACCACATATGTCCTGAAGATAGAACTGAGGTCAGCGGGCTCTGTGGAATGTGCCTTTACTGGCTCAGAAAAAGTGTAGCCCAAGTTGCTCATATACTCTCAGCGTAGCCAAAGCTGGCCTTGAACTTCTGACTCTAGTGCTCCTGTCTCTTGATTGGGATTTCAGAAGTGCACCACTGCATCTGACTCATGTGTGAGTGATCTTATGCTGGCTAAAATCTTCCTGAAGAATATCAATTTCAGAGTTAGCTGGATTGCTGAGGATACAATCCCCAGCAGGACAATAACATTTAGTTGCAACACTTACATGCTTTTAAAACAGATTCCAAAACGAACAAACAAAAATAATTTCCCTGTTCCCTCGTGTACAGTCTCAGTGTAGCTTACTCAGTGTTTGAGGACACCTGAGAACTTTGGAAACACTTGCATTGGTCCTACTACCTTGCTAACGGGAAAAAAACAACAACAAAACCACTCATTTATAGCTGAGTATGAATGTACACGTCTTTAATCCTCCTATCTCTGAGGAAGCAGACACAGGTGGGTCTTTGCTGGGTTAAGACCAGCATGGTCTCTCATAGGGAGTTCTAGGCCAGCCGGGGATAAATGTTGAAATCCTCTCAAAACAAAACAAAAACCTATCATGATTAATATTGTTAACTTGGCAAGATCTAGAGACAACATGGAAATAAATTTGCAGCCTGTCCGTGAGGGATTATCTAGATTAGATTAATTGAAATAAGATCCGGCCAGGCGGTGGTGGCGCATGCCTTTAATCCCAGCACTTGGGAGGCAGAGGCAGGCGGATTTCTGAGTTTGAGGCCAGCCTGGTCTACAGAGTGAGTTCCAGGACAGCCAGGGCTACACAGAGAAACCCTGTCTCGAAAAACAAAACAAAAACAAAAAAACCAAAAAATAAAAAAAAAAAAGAAGATCCACCATAAATGCAGGTGGCCCCATCCCCCAGACTAGAGTCCTAGACCAAAGAGAAAGGAGAAAGTGACTGAGCCATAGTGTTTAACTCTCTTTGCTTCTCCAGGGTCGATGCTATATGAGCAGCTGCCTTGCTGCAGCTACCGTGCCTTCCCACCCTGATGGACTGTGCACCCTCAGACCGTGAGCCAACTCAACCCTTGCCTTCCTTAAGTTGCTTTCATCATATATTTTGTCGCAGCAGGGAGACAAGTAACTAAAACACCCATACATCAGCCAATGATGAGAAATGATTTTATTGGGTGATTTTTTTACAGGCATTGTCTGCCAGAGGGGGCGCTTACAGACATCATCAGAACCTACCCACATCCACCAAAGAAAGAGCCACAAACCGTTGCATCCCCTCAAGAAAGGAGCGCTTTGCAGAAGGGCTTCAGGGAGACTCAGTAAATTAGTTCGGGATAAGTTGGGGAGCTTCCCAGTCCCAGGGCTTTTGAAACCTTCTGGCAGAATGCCCCTTCCTCTCTTTCTTCCGTAGACTTAGGCCTTAAGAATGCACCATTTCCTGGAATTCTAGAATAAAGATGAGAGAACAGACTCAGCACAGGTGGCTCAGGGTTTTGCAGGTGTGCTGTTGCCCTGAGAATTCTGAAGAAGGAAGAGATAGATGAAATAAATTCCCAGAGAAACATGGTCCCATTCTGGATGTGCCTGGGAGATACAGTGAGCATTGGTGCTCAAGAAAGTCTGCAGCATCCTGCTCAGCTTTCCGCATCGTTTTTTTAGATACGGTCTCCCTGGGCAGCTCTAGTTGGCCTCAAATTGATTATCCTTTTGCCTCAGTCTCCAAAGTGCAGCTATTGCAGGCGTTTGCCAAATGCTTAGCTTTCTGTACATTTTTTTTTTGAGACAGGGTCTAAAGTAGACTTCTGGTCTCAGACTTTCTATACAGCCAAGAATGATCTTGAACTTCTGCCTTCTTATCCTCCTGCCTCTGCATCCCAGGTGAGGAATTTCAAGCCTGTACAGCAACATGTACTGCTTTCTCTACATAATCTGTGTGTGTGCATGTGCACATATATGTGCAAGTGTGTGGGATGTGTATGTGTGCATGTGTGTGAATGCACTTGTATGTACATGGGCAGAAGCCAAAGGTTGACATCAGGTGTCTTTCTCAACTGTTCTCCACCTTATGCATTGAGGTAGGGTTTCTCACTGGAACCTAGAACTCACAGATCTATCTAGTCTAGCTTGCCAGCTTTCTCCAGGGATCCCCTGTCTCCACCTCTCAAGTGAGGCCTGGGATTGAAGGTGGGCCACCAGAGTCTTCCAGCATTGCCCTGGGTCCTGGGGATTTGAACTTTGGTCGTTACACTTGCATGGCAGGTACTTTAGACCTGCTGAGCCATCACCTCAGCCCTATGCATAATCGTATTTAACAAATACCTTCATATCTACAGCCTCTTGGGTTAGGGCTCAACTCAGTCATTTTTCTCCAGCGATGAGGAAATTTGGTACAATTGCTCAAGGTAAACCTGTGGTGTATTGTCTGGTTCATTTCAAATAAACATAGAGGTTTTCCTTCACTGTTCTGTAGCTACTATTCAACTTTAAACAAAATTTCCTTCATTGAGCCCTAATCTTAGCCTTCCCCTCAAAGTTTATATTACTAAAAGAAATATACTGAGAGTCGTGTGTGTGTGTGTGTGTGTGTGTGTGTGTGTGTGTGTGTGTGTGATGTAGCTGTGAGCCAAGGATGGAGGAGGACATCGAGTGCCCTACTGTCATTCTCTGTCTTATTCCCTTGAGACCGGGTCTCTCACTGAACCTGGAGCTAGCCAGGGTGGAAGACAGCAAGCCACAATGATTCCCTACCTCCACTTCTGACAGTGCTTGGATTCAGGTTTGCGTGTGGCCGTGTCCAGCTTTTTACATGGATGCTGGGGTCCAAGCTCAGGTCCTCAGGCCTGTGCAACAAACATCCTTGTCCACCCAACCATCTCTCAAGCCCTGGTGCTAATAAACTGCCTGGTACACAGCGAAATTGAAAATGGAGAATTGCTTTATAGTAACTAGCCTACATTTTATCTGTTTTTTCGGGGTTGTGGCTTTTTGTAAACTATCGTTTTAAAATTTGAGACAGGGTCTTGCTGCCATAGCCAAGGCTAGCCTGGAATTAATGAGACAGCCTGGCCCTAAACTCCATAGATTTCTTTCTTTCTTTTCTTTTCTTTTCTTTTCCTTTCCTTTCTTTCTTTCTTTTTTTTTTTTTTTTTTTTCTGAGACAGGGTTTCTCTGTGTAGCCCTGGCTGTCCTGGAACTCACTCTGTAGACCAGGCTGGTCTCGAACTCAGAAATCCACCTGCCTTTGCCTCCCAAGTGCTGGGATTAAAGGTGTGTGCCACCACTGCCCGGCGCCACAGCTCCAAATGCTAGCATTATGCACATGTGCCACCAAGCTGGGCTTCACAGTTACGTTTAAACGAGTCAAGCTTCCTTTGCCTCAGCTACCTCATCTAGGGCACCTGTGGGAGCCGCATTAACTCACGTAGTGACTTATGATAGCATAGTTCAATGAGGATCTAAGGTTACGCTTGTTGCTGCTTGCCTGCAATCACAGCACCAGAGAGGCGGCAGCAGGAGAATCAGGAGTTCAAAGTCAGCTCCGCTACATATCAAGTTCGAGGCCAGCCAGGGCTGTACAGGAGACCCTACCCCAAAAAAACAAACAAAAGAATCTACTTTAGCATTTTCCATTCTCTCCAATTGGTGCCACAAGCAGGATTCCCCAGACTACCTTCTGAACCATTGCTTAGACAGAAATGGAAGCAGCTCTATAAAATCAAACAAACAACCCTATGACGTTTGAATCTGGAGCTGTGCACATAGATGACACTGTGGATAGTGGTTGGTTTGTTTGTCCTTTATTGAACTATTGTTAGTGGTGCTGTGTGTGTGCGTGTGTGTGTGTGTGCATGCCTGTGCATGTGTGCACATGTATATGTAGACATCACTATCCCCCTCAATTGCCCTCCCCCTTATTCTTTGGGCGGGGGGTGGGGGGGACAGAGTCTCTCCTGAAGACCTAGACTCACTGACTCGGCTAGGTTGGGTGGTGATAACCCCCTGGGATCCACCTGTCTCCATGACTTCCGACTCCCCCAGGTGCCGTTATCACAGGTGCATGCCACCATGCCCAGCTTTTAACCCAGCTGGCATGGCTCTGAACTCAGGTCCTAACGTTTGTGGGGCAAGCAGTCTTGACTGTGCCATCTCCCGGGCCACGTCCTCTGTTTAATACCATGAACTGGTGGATAGTAAGCTGTCTTTGTTTAAATCCTGGCAGACAGCTCTTGCATTATTGTTAAACTGGACCTAAGCATCTCATAGAATAGTTTGGAAGGCCGAGTGGTCAGCTAATCCCTTCATCTGGGGAGGGGGGCATTCTTTCAAAGTTCATAGGTAGTGACCAGTTCATAGTTCTGGTGTATCATGTAACACAAAAGTGTGTGTGTGTGTGTGTGCGTGTGTGTGTGTTGAGACACACACCTGTAACCTGTAACCCTGGCTGCCTATCTCAGCCTCTAAAGTGCTGGGGTTACAGGTGTGAGCTATTGTCTTCCAGAATTGTGTGTTTACATGTATGGAAGTCAGAAGACAACTTTGGGGAGTGTGTTTCTCTGCCTATCGTTCAGGCCCCAGGGAGGAGAACACAGGTCACCAGACTTGGTAGCCGTTACTTACTGGGCCGTCTCATCAGCCCTATCCCAGAGTTTGTGTGTGTTGAGGGGTGGGCAGTGCTGGGGACCAACTTCAGACGTGCTAAGCACAGGCTGGACCCATGAGCTCCATCCCCAGTGATACCACATGTCTGCGCACATCTGGCATGCTTGCCCATTCACACTCTGCAGATGAAAAGACTGAATTCATCAGAACTCAGAACCCTCCACCTCGGGTGTCCCCTATGCCGTCTGTCTTAGACACCGTGCAGGAGCAGATGCAGACCTACCATCGGCCCCGATCTTCCCATCTCCGTCATTGTCCGCTGCATCCATCAAGGACTTGGTCTCTGACTCAGTCAGCTCTCTAGCGTCGCTCTGGAACTTCTGTAGGAAATACCTACAGTACCACAAAAAGCTGGTGGCAAGCTCCTGAAAGACCATGTGCTCTCTGCCCTCCCTCCCTCCCTTCCTTCTCCCTCCCTTCCTTCCTCCCTCACTGTCCCCTTCCCCTTCCCTCTTCCTCTCTCCCTTTCTTGAGTCCATGTATCTGACAGGCACAAACATCAGTCAAGGGTCTAGGGAGCACAACTCTCCTTTGCCATAGAAACCGATGCTAGATATCTATCTTTAAGAATTTTATTGTTTCATTTACAGGAGGAAATCCCTTGAACAAATCTCCCTTTGTACCTAGTCCTCAATGCCACACTCATTGCCCCCTATGGGTAGAAGGATGGACAATTTACATTCTTTAATGACCTTCAGATGAACATTCAATGCCAGGGCCAGCCAACAGGGGGCACCGCACACCCCGTCCCCATCCATCCGTGTTGAGAGGCTCAGCACACAGCTTACTTGAGCTCGACTTCATCCAGGTATCCACTCTGGTCGTTGTCTATGAACCGAAAGATATCCTTCACTTGGCTGGCGGACATCTTGGAGAGGCCCGATGTCTGGAAGAACTTTTGTGGTTCAAAGGTGTCTGGGTCTAAAGAACAGAGACTAGGTTGTCCTGAGGCTCGGTGGGTCACATTCTGTATATGTGCCCAGATAATGAAAACACAGGCTACAGAAATACTTTCCTCAAGCTACATGGACACCTGACTCTCCCAAGATTCAGAGAGTCAGGTCTGGGTGGTCTGTGATGTCACTTTGTCCCCTCTGCTCCAGGTTGCCCTTTCCTTTTGATTTTGTTCCTCTTTCCTGCCTCTGCTCAGTGTTTCCCCCAGCCCTCCTCACTCAATAAGCTGCCCACCAAGTTCACAATACCGCATGATTGGTGGGAAGCAGTACATTGACTTACTCTTGTTTCTGGCTAGCCTGGAACCTACTATATAGCTCAGGCTAACCCTACTACTCAGCTACAATCCCATCCAGCCTTTTTTTCTACTGAGACATTTTTTTTTCCAGTATGGGGAATTGAACTTGGGGCCTTGTGCATACAAGGCAAGTGCTCTGCCACTGAGCTACATTCCCCCTAGTAACTTCCCCCTCTACCCCTTTTAGTAAATTCCTTTCCTCTTATGTAAATACAACCACATACTCAGGTCTCCTAATTCCTATCATGTTAGTGCTCTAACTTAGAGCAGTTCCACTGGAAGATTCTGCAAATCTCTCAACAAATTTCACAGTAAGAGCAGGTCTTCCTGGTGTCTCCTGTCACCTTTATTATTTGTTTGTTTGTCTGCTTTTGAGACAAGGATCCAAGTACCCCAGTGGGCCACAAGCTCCCTCTGAAGCCAGGACTGATCTCAAACTCCTGATCATCCCACCTCCATCTCCCTAGTGTGAGGAGTACAGGTGTATATTACCTGTCTACACAATGCTGGGGATGGAACCCAGGTCTTCACATGTACCAGACAGACACTACTACAACTATACCCCCTTGTTTTTTATTCTGAGACAAGATCTCACTCCAGCGTCCAGGTTTCCCTGTTACACGCTCTCCTTCTGCCCCAGCACCACCATGGCCTGCTCCTCCAGTCCCCTGTCACCTTGGCATTCCTGCAGGGCTGCCGCAATGTCATCAGCACTCAGAATGTCCGTGATGCTCATTTTCCACCTGGCGAAACAGAAGAAACAAGATGTGAGCCTCTGTGACAGAGAAATGGGAAGAGCACACATCCTCAGCCACTCGCCAATGCTGTGTATCTCGAGGATTTTAAGATGTGGCCATAAGCACCTGTTAAGCGACGGGACAGTGTACGAAACCAAACCCAGATACAGAAAAGAACCCAGCCACCGCTTGACTACATGATTGCTCCTGAATTCACTCCAAAATTGAAGGAAAAGCAAAGCAAAGAAGACCAACCTGATCATGGTATGCATACTTGCAATTCCAGTACTCAGAAAGAAGGAGGAGGAGGAGGAGGAGGAGGAGGAGGAGGAGGAGGAGGAGGAGGAGGAGGAGGAAGCAGGAACAGGATGCTTAGGAGCTCAAGAGCATCCTTGACTACATAGTGAACTCCAGACCTGAGCTACATGGCCCAGTCTTTTAAAATTCTAAAAGCAAATAAAAGTGTTTTTTTTCTTAAAGTCCAATCTTCTTGCAAAAATTACACTTACCTAATCAGTCACCATAGGCAGCTACGGATCATTTAAACATTAGCCATGTTATCAACACAACAGCCCTGTCATGCATGAGCCAGAGAATCACAATAGCGCAGACCCCCTGTGGAAGATTAGCCCATGCAGCAGAGGTGAAAACCCTCCCCAGCACCAAGTCTAATGTAGTTTGTGTGGAGAAGGAGATCTTGGGGTCTGGTAGGCCCACCAGCTACTCACCAATTTAGATTTAAAATCAAGCAGGGAGAAAGAGTTGTAGGAACAAACCAGAAAAACAAAGCAGACGGTCTTTCAGCACCTTATATAGGACTGAAACCGTGGTCGTTCAGCCTCTTAGATTTCACGTTTAGGGATCAAGTGTGTGAAGCTCAAGTGTCTTTACCTTAGTAACGAAACCTCAAATACTCCCCGTCTCTCTTTTCTATTTATAGAAGGGTGGGTAGGGACAGTCAATTAAGAGAGAAAAAAAAACCTTAACAATACACAGAGAAACCCTGTCTTGAAAAACAAAAACAAAAAACAAAACAAAAAAACCTTAACTAAGGCTTCAGTTCTATAAACAAACCCACTTGGTGAAGAGTGGAACCTGGCTGAAATGAGGTAAGAACCCTGGGCTGCTCTATGAACTGAAGACTTCCCAGGTGTTAGTGGCTGCTGTTTGTAGATGTGCAAGGCTGACAGCCCTCTAAGGTGACAAACTTCAAAAGTCAGTGTCGCCAAGGTCTTGGCTACATAATTTTCTTACCAATGTCTTGACTTGGGCATTGCCCTGCTAAATCTGAAACCACTCGAAACACCAAATGTGTCCCTGTCAAGTTGTGTTGTTTTGACACAATCAAGTATTGCACAACCTCACCAAGTCTCTAAGAATGGTCTTGAATTTCTGACCGCCACTGGGATCTATTAACTGTGCAGAACCAAGCTCAGTTAGTGCCGTGCTGGGATGGACCCTGGGGCTTCCTGTATGTGAAGCAAGTGCTCCACCAACTGAATCCCATCCTCCAGGCCCATCCTTTTTTGAAGTGATATTTTTTCTGTGCTGCCCAAGGCAAGCTGGCTTTGAGCTAGCCATCTTACAGCCTCAGCTTCCCAAGTTAACGGAGCAACTCTCTGATGTTTTTTTTTTATGTCTTTAAAGACAAGGTTTCCAGGCTGGAGAGATGGCTCAGCGGTTAAGAGCACTGACTGCTTGTCCAGAGGTCCTGAGTTCAATTCCCAGCAACCACATGGTGGTCCACAACCATCTGTAATGGGATCTAATGCTTCTGGTGTGTCTGAGGACAGCTACAGTGTACTCACATACATTAAATAAATAAATAAGTAAATAAATAAGTAAATAAATAAATAAATCTTTTTTTAAAAGGGGGGAGGAGTTCCCTGTGTAGCCCTGGCTGTCCTGGAACTCACTCTGTAGACCAGGCTGGCCTTGAATTCACAGAAATCCACCTGACTCTGCCTCCCGAATGCTGGAATTAAAGGCATGTGCCACCACTGCTGGGCTCGGCTCCATTTTCTTAACCACTTTATATGTATGGGCATGTATGAGCGCATATTATGTTAACATGTTTGTGTGGGCACCCACATGTGTGTAGACAGAGGTCAATGTCCAGTATCTTTCTCAGTTGCCCTCCACTTTTTTTTTTTTTTGAGAGTCTCTCAGTAAGCCCTAGCACCTAGCCAGACGGGTTGGTGATGACTTCCAGGGATCCTTGTGACTCTGCCTCCCCAGTGCTGGGGTTAGAGGTTTGCCGCCACACCCCGCTTTTTAATGTAGGTTCTTGTGTTCATGCTTGTGTTACATACAGAGCCATCTCCCTGGCCCTGCTCACTTCTTTGGAGTGTGCATGCAAGACTGGTGTCTGTATGCATTATGCAATAGAACAGAATACCTTATTCATTCTGAAAATAATTGTCCTGTACAATGTTCAGTTAGGATCTCCTGCCTCAGCTTTCTCAGTAGCTAGAATTACAGGCCTGTACCCCAAACCCATCTCAATGTTTTCTTCTTCTTAAACGCTGAATTCAGGCTTGTTTGAATTTTTAAATTTATCTGTTTATTTTTATTGTATGCTTATGGATGTTTTGCCTGCCTGTATATCTGTGCACCAGAAGCGAGCATTGAATTCCCTGGAACTGAAGTTGAGAGCCACCATGTAGGTTCTGGGAACTAAATCTGGGTTTTCTGTAAAAGTAGCCAGTGCTCTTAACCACTGAGCTATCTCTCCAGGCCCCTTTTTGTGGTTTTGCCTGTAATCCTAGCACATGGGCAGGTAACTACCAAACCCTGCTAAAGGTGTGTCCCAGGCTAGCCCTTTCAGCATTTGATTACCGTTATGTGCTGCCCATGGCCAGCAACTTTTCTGACAGAAAATGAAGATAATGGATTGTGATGAGCACCTGTGATCCTACTACGCAGGAGGCTGAGACAGAAGGTACAGCCTTAGGTACATATTGAGATTCTGTCTCATTCAAACGAGGAGAGATATGAAAGGGAGTTCAGCTGTAGAGTGCTTTCTTCACCAGCAAGAGGAAACAACTTGATCCCCAGAACCCACATAAGAAAGCAGAGCATTGTGGAACACACTTGTAGTACTAGAACTAGGGTAGCAGAGATGGGGCATCCTGGGCTCACTGACCAACCAGTCTAGCCTACACTGTGAGTTCAAGGCCAGTGATGAACACCTGAAGAACCACACCCAAGGCTAACTGCTGGCTCCACATATAACACATATACCCAAAAGAAAGAAAGACAGAGAGACCACGTAATCAGAAGTGGCTGGCTTGGTGGTACATGCCCATGTGTTAGGATTAGAGGCAAAATCCAAAAAGGGGGGCCTAGAGATGGCTCAGAGGCTGAGAGCACTGGCTGCTTTTGCAGAGGCAGTCAGGCATTGGTGTGAGGAGCAAATGTGGTCCCAAGTGAATGTGCATTGCTGGCCACAGCCACAGCCATGTCACAGACGGATGCCTCAGCCCCACGGGACTTGCAAAGCCTCCCCCAGGTGAGGGTCAGAGCAAGGCCTCCCTCTGGTCCGAGTGCAAATGTGGACTGTGTGCAGACGGTGTGCAGCAGAGCTTTCTCCCCAGGATGTTTATGGCTTGAAGACTGCTCCCCACAGAGTGTTTCACCTGCTTAGCTAAACCTGCCAGCTTCTTCAGCTGTATACAATACCCCTGCCTCCATGGTATCTGTATGCAATACTCCGCCTCCATGGTATCTGTATGTAATAACCCTGCCTCCGTGTTATCTGTATGTAATAACCCTGCCTCTGTGTTATCTGTATGTAATAACCCTGCCTCTGTGTTATCTGTATGTAATAACCCTGTCTCCACGGTATCTGTATGTAATAACCCTGCTTCCCTAGTCAACTGTCTATAATAAATACAATAACCACTGGAGTGCTGAGGCTTCTCCATCCAAGAGCTCATACTACATGACCCAAGCTTTTCCATATCTGTGTCTCTCTCCTTTCTTCATTCCCTAGCTGCTCTTAGTCAGGGATCCAAGACTCAAGCTGGGCAAGGATGAGGCACGTTGGGAAAAAAGTTAAAGGAACCGTCAGTTCTAACCAAGTTCTTCCTGTTTGGGGCTGCCTGTTACGGAGGTTTGTGTTTGCTGTCCTAGACTGTTTGGTAAAAGCAGTGCTGGGGGAAGGGATGGACAGGTAGACGCTGGGGGCTTGCTGGCCAGCCAATGTAGCTAAACTGGCAAAATTTGGGTTCAGTGAAGAGACACCCGGAAGTTGTTGCCTGGCCTCTATATGCACAGGGACAGACTGACACAGACATGTGCACTCATGCACACACACACACACACACACACACACACACACGTGGAGGGAGGAAGAGAGAGGAGAGGTGCATTCCTGAGTCCTGTAATCTCCACACTGGGGAGGTAGGATGGGATTCCTGGGGCTAACTGGACCATCAGTGAGCTCCAAAGTGAGAGACCTACAAAGTGAAAAGTGACTGTGGTAAGGTTCTGTGGTGCACGCCTCTAATCCCAGCACTAGAACGGCAGACACAGGTGCATCTCTGTAAGTTCCAGGCCACCCTGGGCTACACAGTGAGACCATGGCTCAAGAGGGAAAAAAGAGGAAGATTGAGGAAGTCACCATCATCAACCTTGGGCTTCCACATGTGCATGCACATGCATGCACATACACACAGAAGTTGATTCAGTCTGACAAACTTAGGGGACGGTGTGGTCACTGTTAAGTGCACTCATCCGTCATGTCTTTAAAAGCCTCAACTCGGGCTGGAGAGATGGCTTAGCAGTTAAGAGCACTGACTCTTCTCCCTGAGGTCCTGAGTTCAATTCCCAGCAACCATATGGTGGCTCACAACCATCTGTAATGGGATCTGATGTCCTCTTCTGGTGTGTCTGAAGACAGCTGCAGTGTACTCATATGCATAAAATAAATAAAATCTTTTTTTAAAAAAAGCCTCAACTCCTGTGGCAATGTCTGCTTTCTCCTTGTCTGGAGAAAAAAAAAA